GTCCCTTGTTTGTTTTATTTTTTATAATTTGCTAGAGGGTTCGTGCCCTCACCAAAGACACACAGAGAGAGAGGGGAGAGAGAGAGAGAGAGCGAGATCAAATGGGAATGCACCCTCCTATGTAAGATGGTCCTGCTGCTATCCCTCCTCCATTTCTCCCTTCAGCATTCTGGGCACACACACACATGTGCCAGGCATGGTTTTTTGTTTTTTTTTTTTCGTTTTCTTTTTTTCTTTTTTTTTTTTGTTTTATTTTCCAGAGGTTTTTACCTTAGGGCTCATGTGCTCCCCTGAGAGAGAGACAGAGACAGTGAGAGGGAAAGTGAGAAATCACCCCCTACAGGGGATGGTCACACCGCAATCCAATAAACCACCTCCACGTGTGTCTTGTGAGTTATTGGGGTGTGAATAAGGCTATGACTGCTTTACTTCCCAGTTCCCACTAATTATAGCCCCTTAGACTTGGTCGCTTCCCAGTTCAGACACGTGCAAGGAACTGCCAGATAGTTTTATTTTCCAGAGGTTTTTACCTTAGGGCTCATGTGCTCCCCTGAGAGAGAGACAGAGACAGTGAGAGGGAAAGTGAGAAATCACCCCCTACAGGGGATGGGCATGCCACAATCCCTTCTCCTCCATCCTCCTCTCGGGATCTTGGGCACGCACGCACGCACGCACACACGCACACGCGCCCGGCGTGAATTTTAAGCCACCAGGTCTGGGTCGCGAGCCGCGGTCAACTACATGGGAGTCCAGCAACATAGCCATTACGCTAACTGCTGGTCCCCCAGGCATGGTTTTTAAGACACAGGGTCTGAGACTTGGACTGTGTAGTCTACCATGGGGGACCCAGACACCTGAAGCACACTATCAGCTGGCCCGACACTTAACTATTCTTCTAACCCAGGAGATTTTCATGACTCTCCATGTCATTTTTTTGTACATAGCTACAATCATGAGCCAAGCCCAAGATTTGTTTGTTTATGTCTTTCTTTCATGAGTGAGAAAACTGGAGAAAGAGACAGAGAGACAGCACCCACTATCTAACCACTCCCTCAAAAATATCCCCTTGGCAGGGCTAGTCTTTGTGTTTATTTATTCGTTGTGATTTTTCAAGCCACTTGGTTCAGGACTCAAACTGTGGTCTGCTACTGTTCGCCCCAGGCAGGGCTAGTCTTTTTTTTTTTTTTTTATATATAGAGAGATTTTTTTTG